TGGAGATGGGTAGGTTTAGGGATATGTAAAGTGGGAGGAGTTGGATCTCGAGTTGGAGTTGGTGCACCACTGTAATACCAGTGTACTTACATGGTAACTCCTCAGGAACTGTCCACTTAATATAAAGTGTAACATTCTGGACACCAACCACAATTTATATGTAAAGCCTAACTTACTGGCCGCTACTGTGTAACATCAGAGTAATTACATGATAAATCTAATATAAAGTGTAACACTTTCTTTACCGAAAAGTGCTGTTAGTCCTGTTACACATTTGTACTTACACATATCATTCAGTGGGTTGTTACATATGTGTAGTTACACACAAATCATAAACAGTCTCTCCAAACGAGCAGTTCCAGATTTCTCCCTATAATGACGTCATACTAGGGAAAGTCCCGCCCATTTGTGACACAGCCCTGAGTGAGAAGCAGCAGTCCACCATTACTGTTTTCTTGCTGTAGCTGCTGAATGTCTGCGTCAAAGAGGCATTGCAAGTGTCGTGTGTTGGGATGCACCAACGAACATTGGTCTCCATAGACCGCTGAGGACACGGTGGTTAAATTTAATTTTTGAAGGGAATGTCCCGGAAAAAAAACAGAAAAGTCCTATATATTTGTACTAATGTTTACGCCAGACTGCCTCACAAACGAGGGTCAGTTCAGTGCTGGAGTTGTGCAAAGGTTGATTCTGAGAGAGGGATCGATACCAACGCTTTGTGCGCGAGCATCAGCTCCAGACAAAGTAAGCATCACGCGTCATATTTTGTTTTCCAAAAGAGCTTCTTGGGACTCTATAAGGCTAATGTTGCTAAAGCTACCATGGTCTCTGCCTGTTTTCACTCATGCTGCCTTCACGTGCTACCAGAATGATCGTAAATAGGAATGTGGTAGTTAAAAATTGCATATGGAAGCAATGTGAAGTCGACCGCTTGAATTTGTCGAGCTCATAATGTGATGGCACGCGAAGGCACCATGAGACCAGCTATGTCGTTATTTTTATTGCGCCATGCTCCCCGTCTGTGTAATTCATAAACGCGCATTTACTGCACAGTACAATCAGATTGCGTGATATTGTCCTGTTTTGCCGGAGCATGAGATCTTGAAGCTCCACCCTCTTCTGAAAAGGGAGAAGGGTGTTCCTGCACAACCGGAGGCTGCAGTATCAGGACCGCATTTCTAGGACCGCATTTCCAGGACCCTAGTTTTTTGTAACAGCGCCACCTACCGAATTGGATGTTATAGCGGAGGCTGCAGTTTCAGGACCGCATTTCTAGGACCCTGGTGGTTTAGTTTGTAGTAATGTTTGTACATGTTATCAAAGATATTGAATCTCAGGAATTTTTTTTTTTTTTTTCAATTGTGATTTTTGATTCAAAATGCATCAGAGGTTAATACCTGCTTTGAGTCACAATTTTAAATGTAAACATAAATTAATTTACACTTAAAATATAAATGAAAAATGTATTTCAATCTTTATACAACGGAAAAAGTGGAGTACCTTAAAAGTCTTAGTTTCTTGAAATATACTGTGTATCGATTAACCCCCTTAAGTTTAAGTAATTAGCTCATTATCAGGTAAAATAAGGATGGAATCAAATGGAATCAGCAATCAGCCAGATATTTTAATTTTTGCAATGACACAATACAACAGCACAAAAAAGCCCCCCTTTTCCATCAGTTGCTGCATGGACAGAATGGCTGTAGGCTTCAACTCCTGAGAGCGATAAAGAGAGAGAGAGAGAGAGAGAGAGATAATTAAATAAGAAACATTTGCTTTAACATGTTCAACTGTAATATATATTTCTGATTAACACTTATGCACTGTTGGGGTTGTAGAGAGAGAACCAAACAGAATCATGTTACTGACATCAAACTCTAAACTACAAATTTTTTAAGTATATAAGAGCAATACTTACCAACTTAATGGTCTTCCTTCTTTCCTCAATTGTTTGTCAATCTTTCTATTCAATTCTTCCACTTCACTGAAATTCTTATCAGAGAACAATCATTGTTGGGTTAACAGAAATATCAGTAACAAAAGGGTGCACTGGGCATTGTGCAAAAATAATTTATATTCTACTCTGACCTGTAATGATAATCCGGACCAGAAAGGAAGACCTGCTCAGCCTCCTCCAAGGACGAATTCCATAGGACAGCCAGGGCATATATGATGGCCTATCAAAAAACGGTTAATTTAAATATACTATTATACCACTACTGAACAGCAAGCCATTATACATGGGTCCATACACGAGTAGCACCAGCATGCAGTTTATATTCAGTAGATTTTGTAAGTGCAGGAACACACACAAACACATTACATGATCCGGCATACCTCTTGAAAAAGAACACCACAGATGAACTGCACTTCATCATCAGTCCAAGCAAACATCAATAACAAAACTCAAAACCAAACATCCGATTTAGAGAGAGATGAATCAAGGCAGAAACGTCTCCAATGCAACGGCGAACTCCCATAACCTCTACGTCCCGTGAGTTCTCTGGCAGACTCATGCACCAACGCCAACAAACAACTATTCCTCTTTTCCTCTCATTGTTCCTGCAAGTCCTTTTTAAGACCAGTTGATTTAATCCAGGTGCAGCACCACGTCATCCAATCACCTGCAGACAGCCAATCACCTGTGACTTGGGAATAAACACAGTAACTCACAGTAACTCACTAAGACGTCACAAACTCCCCCTAAAAAAAAATCCTGCATCCAATAAAGGATCCTTAAAACATCAAACAAAATCAAAAGTGAAACTAATAAAAAAAACTACTTTCCTAGTTCTTTTTTTCTTCTTCTATGGCATCAATCCACCTTCAGTGTCCTTGTTTTCTTGTGTTCTCACAGTCACGTCAGTTTTCCCAAGCTACCTCCTTACCCCCAGCAATCTGGATCCTGAAAGCAATTTAAGACAGCAAAGTGAGCAAAGGAAAAACAGAAACTGTTCCAACACAACAGTACACTATTCAGAAGGGTCAGGAACCCGAGATAATGCATCTGCCACTACATTCTCAGCTCCTTTGATGTGTTTTATAGTCAGGCTGTAAGGCTGCAAAAATAGAATCCAACGCATTAACCGCTGACTTGGGGACTGTAAGGAATGCAAAAAAGTTAAAAAATAAAAAAAGTTGTTCCTCACTGTCAAGGTAGACAGGCACCCGGGAAGAGGTTAGCTTATGTAACCACTTAGAGGGCTTTTCGCTGAGTACACCCTATGGGCAAACCATGGTGCAAAAACAATTATTTTGAGGAAACTGATACATTTAAGATAAAGATACAATAATTTGCAGCAAAGTTAAAATATACTGTTAATGTTATCCCTAATTAAGGCCCTTGGTGGATCTTTACTATGAGTTCGTTTGTAAAGATGAATAAACGTGAACATTAAAACCCATTATGAGGCATTTGTTGCATCCAGTGGGGACATAATTACTGATTATAATGACTGACTTACTGTCTTTTTACACGTTACGTTGCATCGCACCGCGTAAACATAAAACCATGTCTGCATTTGTGATGAAAGAAACGACAACAAGCGCTGCTCTACACTGCTTAAAACTCGCGTTTGAATCGTCAGTGGCAAATCCTTTAAATATGAAAACATACTTACAGGCTGTGAGTCAGCATTATTTGTCAGAACACCGGCATTGTAGGCTACTCTTCCAGGAAACAGTCCTCGTCCTCCGTAAAATGCGTTGCACACACACGAATATTTGGGTTGAACTGTTCTGGAACAGTGTTGTAAATACAACTTAAACACTGATTTCTAGTTGTGTCCTCTTTTGGAAGGCCAAACAAAGTAGTTTCGCTTTCGCAACGAAACACAGCGTCTTACCGACATGGTGGCGGCGGCAGCAACAATATTACAGCGAGAATCAGTTACGCCTTCTTTCTTTGCGTATACATTTGGGCAGTGTTGTGCAAATCTTCCCACACAGTGACGTAGACATGTGGGGGCGTGTTTAAACGAGGCGTTTTAGGAGGGCATGGACGAGTCTTAACTTTTATAAAGAATATCTCTTTGGGTTTGAGACTTTAGTCTTTGCAACTTTAGGGATCTTATCTATTCACGAACAGCTTGTGACACTCCAAAGAGAAAGGAAAACTTGAAATCGCATCATATGACACCTTTAATGTACCACCAAATGCCCCTCAGATCCCTGTAACTAACCAAATCAATAAAATCACTTTATATTGGCCATGCAGAACATGGCAGAAACTAACACACGATAACCATGGACTGTATGTGGTGTAGACCTGCAGATTAGGCCTAAATTTGAACTAACTATTAAAACTGACAAACGACTCATTCATCACTGTAAAACAATGTCAAAACGACAGGCTAATAACACATATTGTGGTGCAACAAGGCAGTCAGCGCAGTTTAATTATGAAAGATGATTTATACTTACCTAATATGGTAAAACAATGAGTATTAAACAAGTTTTCACATTAAAACAGTAAACTACAGGTAAATCTGACACATCTCACATCAACATGCTTTTATCATCTTTTTAAGTTTAATTAATGTGCTGGCTAGATTTACTTATTACAGTCATTAAGGCAACAAGGTTTAATTAAATCATGGCCACAAATTAAGAACGGCGTAATAATTAATAAAACTAACACAATAATTCTTAATTTGTTGGAATTAATTATTAATTCATAGTTAGCAGCTCTCACTTTGGCTATGTAAACTTTGCATATACGTCATTTTAACGTTATAAAATAAAACTTAATTGAAAGTCGGTACTCACACTTTGATTGCTGTCCATGTCGTCCATCTTATATTGGTGTTCTTGGTGATCCAGTTCGGTAGGAGGCGCTGTCACAAAAAAAAACTGGGGTCCTGGAAATGCGGTCCTAGAACTGTGGTCCTGACATTGCAGCCTCCGGTTGTGCAGGAACATACTATTGGTAGCACCAGCTCATTTGCATTTAAAGGGACAAACACAAAAACGGTGCATTTTGGCTCATACCCTGAAAGTGGCAATTTCAACAAGCTATAAAAAATTATCTGTGGGGTATTTTGAGCTAAAACTTCACATACACACTCTGCGGACATCAGAGACTTATTTTACATCTTGTAAAAAGGGGCATAATAGGTCACTTTTAATACTTAAGTACTGTAATCAAGTAAAATTACTCAAGCATTTTACACCCCTGATCATTTGTGTCTGTTTTTGTATTTGTTAATGTTTGAAATGCTATTGAAATGTGAGTTTAACATTTAGTGTTTTTGGTATTTCTCCCCATTAGATAGGAATGTCTATTATATTGACTGTCACACAAGTGACTGAATATAATTGCTTTCCCAAGATGGCATCTAAGTGAATAGACTTGCCTAGAAAAGAACTGTTAAAACTGTTTGTAGCCAGGACTGAGCTGTTTGCAATGTTCTTGCCTTTTTATATGCAGTATACATTAGACTGTGTGTAAATGATTTATTAGTTTGACATCTGAGACTGTAAATAGTCAAATTTTGTCTGAATAAGTCTTAAAATCCTGATAAATGGTGAGGAAAGTTCTAGGGTCGATCCATAGCAAGTTTATAGAATACAGTTTGGATTGTGGCTTCTATCACAGCCTTTATGCAGTCAGAATTTTACTTCTTTTGTTAATCTCCTTTATTTTGTCTCTGTTGTTTGTCTTTGTCTTTGTTCTGTGCATCTACAAAATACTAACTTGAAGGAGGTGTGTATTTATGTATGCAAATAATGTAATATTTTATAGTTATTTATATAATTAACAGTAATACAGTTACTGATTAAAACTTTTAACTTTGGAAAAAAGTGAAGCTCTGAGAGAAAATAATATATTGAATACATTAAATGCATTGTATTATTTGACTTCTTTTAAGGTTGGTTATGTAAGGCTGATTTTGGAACAGGGGACTGCTTTGGAAGCTACGATTTTTTGTACATCTCACAAGTGAACCACCTTTGGCCTCTTCTGTCAACCTAATCATTATTATAAATCATGGCTCAGACAATATTACAGAGTCTCACCTTTACCTGCATGTGTCTTTAGATTCAACAATTTCGAGACTCAAAGAGAAACACAGCAGAAGAGGATGAGGAAGTACAAGAGGTCTCTTTTTATTTTATTTGCTTGCTATATATTACATAATCACTTCTTTTCACATTCATAATTCACTGACATTCCTATGTAAATTACCCTAGAAACATTCATTCTGTTTCAGGCTATAATTCGTGCAAAAGCTCATAGGGACCACAGAGATTCTGTGAGAGATGATGACCTCAACCTATCAGATGAGCCAGCTGACATTGCTGTGGAGTCAGATGAAGAGTCCGTTTGTCTTTGTCTTTGTTCTGTGCATCTACAAAATACTAACTTGAAGGAGGTGTGTATTTATGTATGCAAATAATGTAATATTTTATAGTTATTTATATAATTAACAGTAATACAGTTACTGATTAAAACTTTTAACTTTGGAAAAAAGTGAAGCTCTGAGAGAAAATAATATATTGAATACATTAAATGCATTGTATTATTTGACTTCTTTTAAGGTTGGTTATGTAAGGCTGATTTTGGAACAGGGGACTGCTTTGGAAGCTACGATTTTTTGTACATCTCACAAGTGAACCACCTTTGGCCTCTTCTGTCAACCTAATCATTATTATAAATCATGGCTCAGACAATATTACAGAGTCTCACCTTTACCTGCATGTGTCTTTAGATTCAACAATTTCGAGACTCAAAGAGAAACACAGCAGAAGAGGATGAGGAAGTACAAGAGGTCTCTTTTTATTTTATTTGCTTGCTATATATTACATAATCACTTCTTTTCACATTCATAATTCACTGACATTCCTATGTAAATTACCCTAGAAACATTCATTCTGTTTCAGGCTATAATTCGTGCAAAAGCTCATAGGGACCACAGAGATTCTGTGAGAGATGATGACCTCAACCTATCAGATGAGCCAGCTGACATTGCTGTGGAGTCAGATGAAGAGTCCACTTCTGCTCCTACAATCCGTGGAAGGGGGCGTGGCTCCAGAGGTGCAATCAAAAGAGGAAGAGCAAGAGGTATTTACATAAACATAAACATTCACAAACATATTAACAGTTTCTTTGATAACTACTTACAGGTCACACCACAAGAGTTGTGAAGACATCCTTTTGTGGGGAGGTGGATGCATCACAATTAAAAGAACCAAAGACTTAAACTACTTCAGTCTGTGTGCATTGAATTTATTTAATACACGAGTTTCACAATTTGAGTTGAATTACTGAAATAAATTAAATTTTCCACGACATTCTAATTTATTGAGATGCACCTGTATACACTAAATCAACTAAATTCCAACCTGGGGTCCGCGCACCCCTAAGGGGGGGACAAATCAATTAATATTATTGCAGCAAAGCCCTGCTTTGAGGTAGGGCTGGGCGATAAAACAATAACTATAATTATCGTGATATAATTTCTCAATAAAACAATAACAAGCATTTGATAAATGTTCGATATAATGTTTAAGCGCCAAAAGCGGAAACAAAACCGTGACACTGATTTGAAGCACGCCACACGGAGCTTTTATCCCCTCAGCTCAAAGTTCAAAAGGCAGTGCAACGCGAGCTTACTAGAGCAGATGCGTTTACTCGCTGATGAGTTTCGGTCACACGACTCTAAACAGCGCTGTGAGATCCAGTGTGAAGCACTTGAATTCAGCGAAGAACACATGACTCTGTGATTTAAACTAGTTTAAAGCCTGTTCAAACAGCAGAAACACTGTGCGCAACGATACAGTCAGAAGGCTTTTCTACAAATCGCCATAATTTACCATGGATTTACTGTAGTAACAACTGAAAAAAAAAAACTTGCCCCTTTTAGACTTGCACTCTATTCATTTACTAACTACTTGTTTTCTTTTTTTTTAAAAACACACACACTATCTTCTCTAATCATTTTATATTCTATCTATTTTCTTTTTATTTATTATATAATTTTTAAAAAAAAAGAAAAGAAAAGAAAAAAACCTTGCTACGTGTACTGCGTTAAGCTAACTGAGACTTATTATAGCACATATCATTGCTCTCTTGTTGATTTTGATTGCTTCCATTGTCCTCATTTGTAAGTCGCTTTGGATAAAAGCATCTGCTAAATGACTAAATGTAAATGTAACTGCACCATTGATGCAGAAATGTGGGATATTCGTATCAAATTTTATTATAATGTAGATATATATTAAATCTATTAAAGGAGTAATGGAATATAATTGCAGTATTTTTGTGATTAAGCTATAGCTTTTGTGCATTTATACTAAATGTATTTAGACTACTGTTTTTCATAAAAATACTTAGAAACCATATAGTTGCATTTTTACCGTCTTATTTACCATGGTATGTGTGGTTTTTTCAGTTTAACGCGTTAAAAATATTTAACGCAATTAACGCAGGGACGGGGCTAGGGTTGGCCACCCCACTCACAACTGCTGCTTCTGTCACTTTTTCTCTTGACAAGAAGTGCATTTATTCAGTCGCAGAACGACTGAGAATGGGAGATGTTTCAGACGCACGTTCCACTTCACTTCAGCGCCAGGCGCGATTCGAGCGAGCGCGGAAACGGTACTGTGCTCTTAGCGCATGCTCTTCAATTGCACGCACAAAGGTGCCGGCGCACGCTGTAGTCTGTATCCTTTCATGTCAAAGTGCGAAATAAACTACGTGCATGCAATGTCTTGGTCAGTTAAGTCATGAAGTTACCAAAAAGGCGATTAAAGCTGCCTTAAAACTGTGCATGCATGTAATATATTTTATATTAGTCACATTAAATCCGCGTCACTTTCAGCAGCGGCAGCTCTTAAAGAAATAGCAGCCAAAATAACCTAATAACCAGCTGCTGTGATGTCTATTAATCGAAGGACAAAGAAAAAAAGAGGGGAAAATAACTTTTATAGCTTTAAAGGGGTCATATGATGCTTTTTTAAAGATCATTATTTTGTGTATTTGGTGTAACAGAATATGTTGACATGCTTTAATGTTC